GTTTTCATTCACACGACGGGCAGCAGCGACCGAGCCACATCATTTCCCGTCGCTGCCCCAACGCCCGAACACAAACCAAGCCGGCACACAGGTGAAACAGGATATCATGCACGTGTACACGAGTGTACTCGTGCGCGTGCACGCTGACACAGAGTGACTGAGTGACAGAGAGAGTGACAGAGGGTGACAGAGAGCGAGTGTGTGTGTGTGTATGTGCTAGTGAGTGAGTTGAGAGAGAAAGAGATGCGCACACGCTCGGGCAGACAGACACACACACGCACGCACACACACACATATCCACTCCTGCGTACTCACACGATCATCCGTGCATTGCTTGCCGAACAGGACGAACCAAAGATCGCGTGAAACAGCTCATGCGCACGATGTCGCGGCAGCTGGACAAAATCACAGAATACCCCTCGGGGATTGTCGTTGACCTTGAGGACATTTGCACTCTCATCGACCGCCTCACGGACAGGATGTCCATCATTGCCGACGGCCAGAAGCAATGTCGACAAGCGGGCATCAAGCAGGAACACCCCCGGAAAAGAGTGAAGACACTGGCCCCGTCGAGACTGCGGCTGTTCCCTGTGCGCGGCCGCAGGGGAGGCAAGAAGGCGGCAAGCACTCGGGAGGGCGCGAGGAAACCGCTGTTTCGTACGTGCACTCGCATGTATGTGCTCTGTGTATGCGTGATGCGGTCGTGCATGCGTGATGTACCGCGTGGATGACGTGCAAGACACACCAACCAACAATCTCATCGGCGACCGTACATTCTACATACATACAGATGATGCGTGGCAACCGAAGTCGGAGTCAAATGACGCGGAGCCCGCAGGTACCCCTACACGCACACACACACACACACACACACACGCACACGCACACGCACACACACACACACGCACACACACATGTCCTGACGTTGCTTCTTCCGCTTGTCACTCGCAACCTCAAGTGCAAGGTGCCCGGCGAACGGAGCCAGTTTTCAAGGAACAGCAGCTCCAACCTCGCGGCGAGGCCTTGAGGCAGCGAAATGATGGTGTGTAGCTTGCCCACTTTGCCACATGTACCTTGCCTACTTCTCCAGCGCGTTGTTCAAGTCCAAGCTGTTGGGGTGTGTTTCTACGACCAGGTGCGCCACTCGCTGTCTCCCTCCTGCAGTCGCTGATGGCACCCACGAGCAGCAAGCCCTCAAAACATCAAGCAGATGAGCAGGAACCAGAGAACAAACAACAACAACAACAACAACAACAACAACAACAACAGGTGCCTCAACAACAACAACAACAACAACAACAACCACAACAACAGCAGCAGCAGCAGCAACAACAACAACAACAACAACAGGTGCCTCAACAACAACAACAGCAACAGGTGCCTCAACAACAACAACAGCAACAGGTGCCTCAACAACAACAACAACAACAGGTGCCTCAACAACAACAACACCACCAACAACAACAACAACAACAACAACAACAACAACAACAACAACAACAACAACAGCAACAACAACAACAACAACAACAACAACAACAACAACAACAACAACAACAACAACAACAACAACAACAACAACAACAACAACAACAACAACAACAACAACAGCAACAACAACAACAACAACAACAACAACAACAACAACAACAACAACAACAACAACAACAACAACAGCAAGCTCAAGAGGAATGTCAACATCGGGCACCAACCCCGCGCAACCGCGAGAAGATGGTGGGTGGCCGAAGCTCGGTTGCCGCTGTCGACATGACTCCGACCAAACCACGGCCTGGTTCGTTGAGCTGTTGTTCATGTGAATGAACATGCGCACTTGTGTGTGTGTGCATATGTGTGTTTGTTTCGATGTATTTTTGCTTGCTTGCTTGTTTGTTCGTTCACTTTCCCCGTGGGCCTGCATGCTGATGCCAGTGTCGTGCCGATGCGTTGTTTCTCTGCTCATGCACGACGCTCACATAACCACTGGCCGCCGGTTGTGCAGGCAATCTGCCCAGTCCTTTCAGCCAAGCAAGCTGACCAGGCTCATCACAGCGTAGGAGGAAATCTCAAATGTTCGTCAAGACCTTTGTAAGACTGCGCACAAGGCGTACCACACGGCGTGGGTGTGCGTTCATTGTTTGTGACCTCTTCCTACTCACTGCGACGAAGTGTGGCACTTGTGACCCGTGTCGATGGGTGCCCGTGCGTGCCCTGTCCAGTATGTGTTAGTCTGAGGTGCGTAGCATTGCCAGTTTTTGTGTTGGACCGCCCACACCGGGGTGCACGCATGCTTGCACATGGTGCGCCATATGGGGTGGTGCGTGTGTGGTGTGTTTGCGGTTACACCCCGCTCACTGTGACGTGTTCTGCTGCATATGAATGACACTAGGAGGGACCTACGTGTGTGGGGCGCATCCTGTGTTAGTTTGAGGATGCACGCGTCTTTGTAGTTCGAGACATGGGTGTTGATGTGGTTGAATAGCAATATAGAAGATCTCGTGCAGGGAATGTCACACCAAATAAAACCCGCACAGGCGGTTAACAGGGCCCTATTAAGTCACGCACACGCACACACACACGGACGCATACTTTCTCTCTCTTTCTCTCCCTCTCTCTTTCTCTCTGTCTCCGTCTGGCCGGGTTGTTGGTTGGTTTACATGAGTTAGAGGTGTCTGCTCAGACACTTTGGGCTTTGGTTGTTTTGCGGTGCGGCCGACTGGGAAAGGAGCTGATTTGCCAATTGCAGGTGCAATTACAGCCGAATGTGGGCCACCGGGAATGCAGACGCACCCTTCCCAAGAACCGCTGTAGCTCGCGACGGCACATGTTGCAGCGCTGAATTGCACTTGCAAAGGCCCCCTCCAACCACCCGCCAACTCGCGCTTCCTTCTTGAAACGGCCATTTCCCACTGCACACCACCACCCAAAATGAGCGCGACCTTGACGAGGCAATGTCCCCACGTCGCTTGCAGCTTCACTGAGGCCACCGGCAATGTCTCACGGCTGATCGACCACATCAAGGTCACACACGACCTCACCGAAATCCCATCCCTTCTGGCCTTGGTGCAAGTTGTCAACGTTGGTAGTGGTTCTGGTCCTCACCGCTGCGAGAAGTGCAACAAGACGTGCAGGTCTGTTCGACACCTCAAGGATCACATTCGAAAGTCAAAGGCGCATGAAGACGAGTACAAGGTACTTGCCCGCGCTTGCCTCTGTCCCCCCAATGCCTGTTTTATGTTGGCGCTGCCTCTGCTGGCACAGTCACACAACCTTGTTGTGCTCACAACTGGCACTCCTTTGCATGTTGCGTTGCATATGCTGTTCACAACAGACGAGGGACACGTTTGTTTGCGTGAACTGTGACTGTGGCGGGTTTCCGAGCTGCGCACAGCTTGTGGCACATATCCAAAGCAACCATCCTTCATACCATGAAACGGGTGCGTCCTTTGCCGCCTTTGACTGCTCTCGTGTTCTCGTTCATGTCACCCTGGTTTCTGTGTGCTTGTGTGTGTCGGGCCACATACATGCGCATCCGATGCACCCCTCCCACTCATTCACGCCCATCGCTGTGCTTGTGTCAGTGGTGGATATGCGCCATTTCAGAACCCTGAACGCCTTCGCGGCGTGGCTGCTCGATGAACAGGAGACGACATATGCGTTCTACACGAATGAGCCATGGACTGATCTCAAGCGGAGGACACCAACAACCTGGGGTGCGCTGCATTGTTGTTTTAGGGTGCTGTGACCTTCGTTTGCCTGTATCTTGGTGTTCCTTTTTTTTTTTGTTTCCCCAATGTGCATGCACTCACGTGTTGGATGTATCGGCGTGTACTCGCGGTGAACCGACGCAGAGGCACCAAATCCGTTGGATACTGCCCAGCTCGGTGTGTCGTGACGCTGCCTGAGTGTGGCCGAGTGCGGGCTGAGCTGTTCAAGGAGCACACTCATAGCCTGAGTGTCCTTGGCATCCCAATACCGGATGAGGTGAGGCTTTGGATCCGGCCAGCACCTCGCTTGCACGGTGGTGTGCTCCTGAATTCACCTGCATGAGCGCGGCACTCCCGTCACTCCTTCTGTGTCTCTGTGCACGTGTGCATGGTTTGATTCGAACAGTTTACAGCCAGCATGCACACCCTCGCCCGAGGGAAGCACGGCGCGGGCTATGTATTAGAAGAAGGCATCACCAACAACCGCAGGACGTGTGTGTACGCGAAAAAAACTGTTGCAGCGAGACATCAACGTCAACGGCAGCAGCGCGCGCACTTTCGCCCCACTAATGCTGAGGCGGAAACGCCGCTGAGCCCGACAGCGCAGACCACAGAGGTTCGTTCCGCAAAAACCAACCGCACAAGTGTTACACCCACCTGCACTCTGCACAGAGGTTGTGGTTGATAGACTCGCCACCACACATCGCGCAC